CCTTTTTCTTGATGGTTTTATTTGGACACAATCGCTGCAGAGAATCATTGACCTTCTCTTCATATGATCTCAGTTGAGTAGACATTGCTCTCAGAGGTTTTTTTTAATGATGCCGAACGATCCCCCTTCCCCCTCCCCAAATCTCAGCGTGCAGCATTTTGATGATGATGTTCAACAAGGTAGCACAAATCACAAGCTTCTTCCGCGCACAGCCGTGCACATTCACCCGGGCTCAGCGCACCTTCTCTTCATTTTCCATCGTCTCTCCTTGGAGCCAAAGTACACTTCACTTTCCTGCTCCAACAAACTGCCACCCCCACCCAAACAAACACCTTCCATCCTCCCCTACCTTCCCCCTCTTTCTCTCTCTGCATGTCCCCATATAGAGGTCATTTGCTTCATGGAAACATTTGATAGGCTAGGGCCAATCGACTGGCATGGATTGGCAGCTCACAGTGAACCTCCAGCTTGGTCTAACTGCTTCCATGTGTGTGTGTGTGTGTGTGTGTGTGTGTGTGTGTGATTGGAGCAGTGATTGCCGAGGCCAAACAGAAACTTCTAATTCTGGGACGAAAACCACGACTCAATAATACACATGATGTCTGTTGTGCTTTTGTGAGTTCACTGTCCAGTTTTAATAGGCTTCTGACTTTACAGTGATACCGAACAAAGAAGTAAGAAAAATTCCCCCTGCAGAATTTTATCAGAGTTTAACATTTGCAAAATTCTGTCAACATTGCTTCTCCCTACTTACACACAAGAACACCATTCATGATAAAGCTAACCTCATGCCAATAGTGTGCAATCCAGACCTACAACATTCTTGTCTCTCTCAGGATGGGACGACACCGTAAGGTATAAAAGGACAGTGCAATGTTTATCACTTAAGACACTTCTCTGTAGCGATGATCAATGTTTACCCCCAGTTTAAATCAGTATTTCAAATGAATGTATACAAGAGTCTACAGCCAATATAACTTCACCATAGTTCATGAGGAGATTTGGGGTTGTCTTTTTGCCTAAATATAGCGTCAAGCTGCTCGCCTCCTGCAGAGACAAGAAGCTGCCACCAACAGAAACTTAATTTGATCAAATGTTTCTAACTCCACAGTCTCTCATTTTCAAAAACGTGTTGACTTCAGTCCAAACCGAAGCTGACTCGAATGACATCACTTGAGTTAACTAATACCATTTCATATAGCTCCCTAGAAGCCACAAAGAGGTCATACAGTCCAAATGAAAAGCAAAGTGAAGACTTAAAAGTGCTTGGTGGCAAGTGTGGTGCACCAAAAACAAGTGAATTTAGGTTCAATCCAATTTAGCATGAAAAATAATGAAGCAGCTGCATCATTCATCACAGTTAAAATGAAAAATATCGGGGGCGCTGATAGCATAGCTGTCATGACGCGGGCCGCTTATACGCAACTTAAATTCCTCATCAGCGGACGTGAGTTCATATCCGACCTCGACCCTTTGGTGCATGTCATCCCCCCACTCTCTCCTCCCAATACTCCCTATGTCTCTTCAGCTATCTTATCGAATAAAGAGGGAAAGATATATAACTTTTTTTAGAAATTGGCCAAATTTACAGGAGGACTTTATTTATGTGGTGGCTGTGAATTTATCCTGAAAGAAAAAAATGCATCTCCAAAATGTCAATTGAAATATTGATTTATGGTATTCATTGCAGAAGTGTCATTCCTCAGTACTAACAAACAGTCTGCACACATGCAGAGAGTGGAGGACCTTTCACCCCTCCATACCCCCCCATCCTTCACTCCTCAAGAGTAAACATCATCTATGGAGTCTAGTCTCGCTTTTTCCACCCTGGCCCTCAAATGAAAGAGCTCATTCTCTGTTTCCTCTCTCTCTCTCTCACTCACTCTCTGTCACATCAGCTTTCCAGCCATCTCTCTCTGACTCACACTTGGACGGACGGATGTAACTCTTTCCATTTTCTACCTTTTTTTTTTGCCTCGAGTGAGAGGCACAAACTGCCGGAGCAAAAGGTGACACTTGCCATACAAAATCCTGTTATCAACAAGTGTGAGAGCACGTAAACACTCACACTGAGATTGGATGCAATTTGTTTCGGCCCCTGAATGGCTCGTTCAGTTGTGGGGTTTATCCAAGCTGCACCACACATGTCCACACTTTGACAACACAAACTGCAAACCTAATCTGGTGACTGAAGCCATCCTTGATGACAGCAGAGAGATGACAGAAGACAGGCAGGTGAACACACTGACCATTACAGCCCTGTGAATGAGCTGATATCATTAACTACAGAACAGTGGCAGAAGTGTTTCATCTTTGCAAAGGATGAACAATATAATATTTTTTTGTGCAACGTTTGATATTTGAGAGCTTAAGGTTTAAAACACGACAACACAGCTGAGTTTTGGTGGGATTCCATTGGCTGGAAGAGCGGCCATGCCCTAAAAATGTTACAAGTTTCATTCATAAGATTAAGCATGAACAACACCAGCACTCTGAAACTGGTATGGTCTGTTCCACTACTTTTTATGCAGCTGTCTTCAGTGAATTCTCTGAAAATTCAGTTAAGAAAATGTGCACTAAGTGAAAAATGTATATTTCAGAACTTCGTTTTGCACAGAATAACATGCTACATATGTATACGGGTGATCTACGCACTGAACTGCCTTGCCTACAGTGTCTCACCTTGCTTGGTGCTGAGATTAGCTGTGTGGCGCGCACACACACACACACACACACACACACACACACACACACACACACACACACACACACACACACACACACACACACACACACACACACACACACACACACACACACACACACACACACACACACACACACACACACACACACACACACACACACACACACACACACACACACACACACACACACACACACACACACACACACACACACACACACACACACACCTTCAACCCACCTCACCCACTGAGCTCATTCAGGAGGAATCAGTAGATTTCTCTGCTGACCCGCAGAGAGAAGCTGAGCCTCGCAGTCCGCTCTGTCTCTCATTATCTGCAGACTGTGCGTCAATCTGACTGAAGCCAGAGAAGAATACCTGTGTTCCCTTTGAAGTCGGCTCTGACTACAGTAAATTATTAGCTCTCCTGCAACACAGCTCCAGGCCCTTAGGACACCCCCTGGCTGTTCCAGAGGTGGGTGCCATTACCTGTCATCACAGCTGTTGGGATTCTTTCACAGAGGCTAATAAAGACTGTTGCGTCTTATGGTATCTTCATCAGAGTTTATCTTCCAACCCCTACAAGGGGCTGCACATGTGGGTGAGTATAGGTAGGCCTGTAACAACAGAGAGAGCGCGAGAAAGGGAGAGAGAGAGAGAGAGAGCGGCACAGCAACTCTGATTAAATAGCCAACATTCCTTTAAAAGGAAGAGAAGGTAGCCCTTGGGCTCCACACAAGCCTGCACTTGTAAAACGTAGAAAGAGAGAGAGAGAGAGAGAGGGGACAAGTGCAGGGCTCCTCTCGTCTAGCAGAGCGTAACAGGAAGTGGCAGAGCCTGCTTCACATGGGGCCTCTGGGGTGTAGCGGCTGGCTGAGGAACACGTCACAGTCTCCGAAAAACGGCTGCCTTCAACGCCCTTTACACATACATAGCCATTTCTAACAACAAGAAAACCCAATTGTTATGAGCGTTAACCAGAAATATGAGTTTGCAGGGGCAGAGCTCCCTTTTTTTCCCCCAGAGTAAAACCCCCAGGAAAGGGAACGCCATCGATGCAGAAACAGGACAAACTGGACTGGCAACCTGGCTGCAAAACGGTTGCTTAAATAAATAGATATAATAGATAAATGAAAACGTGAGAAACTAATTGGTAACCCGCACGGTTCCCAGCTGCTGTCTGTAGTTGATGACTGCAGAGCCATAATGAAGCCACACTAGTAGATGGACAGTAAATGCAGTTTCCTAAGCCGGAAACTCTCGCCTATTCTTCACAGGCAATGTCCTCTGTTTAACAAGGCAATATCACCGGGGCTAATCAATTATATGTAGACACTAATTACTGAGCACTGTCTGCACTCTAAACCCCCCCTCACACACACACACACACACTCTATATAGGTTGATCAGATGAGTGAGGGCTATAGGGAAAAGAGGAGGAGGGGAAGCTGGAAGGGTCAAACCGTGCAACATGTTTGTAGCCTCTTTGTGTTGCAGAAACAAAGTTGATGGATAAATTACAGAAAAACAAAAAAAAAAAGCTTGATGTGGCACAGATTACTTTAATCTCTAATCGCGTTGCTGAGAGCCATTGTTTCAAGTGGACCGAGTAGTAAAACTACCAACCAATAATTTAACAAGGAAAAAACAAACAAACAGCTGTATAGCCTTTATTAAGACTGTATGTTTCTTGTGAGAAACAACCTCAGAACTACAATTTGGATACTTTCCAGAGAATACATAAAATGTCACAAGGTCACCAGCTATAAACTCCCTACTGACTCCCAAAGACACAGCAGCACGTCGTTTGAGAATATTATAGTGATTTGTAGCTCAGTATCAGACCTAAACAAGACAAGTCGTAAAATCGTGTATGACTTTACCCCCCCCCCAAAAAAAATAAATACACACGGTCAAACTCTGCTACCTGAAGTTGTGTATGGACCGTCCTCACTGCCTCTGACTCACATTTAAAAGTTTCCGAAGAGTCACACAACTCCAGTGCTACATTTATAAAAGACAATGTCATTGAAAGTTATTATTATAAAGTAGCTTTTTATCCAAACAGGAGGAGGTATGTATGCAGACAGCCGAGCACAGCATTCCTCTATGTGGACTCCACCGTCTGCAGCTCGCACAGGGGAGGAGGGTAAAGAGGGGGGTGGGGGGGGGGGTAAGCTGTTTCTCTCGGTAAAACAAATCTCCACATCCACTTTAATTTCACCGCATAGAGCCATGAAAGTTCAAGCTCTTAATAGTGCTCTTAAATATAGAGTTCATATAATGGACTCACCAGTGAATACAGGAGAAACGACAGGCGAAGCGTCTGATAGGTTTCCTGCTCGAAAGTTGTCGTGTGTCAGTGGGGAAAAAAACATTGTACGCGGAAGTACACATGCAAAAAAGAAAAAAAAAAAGAAAAAAAAGAAACACATACACACAGGGTTATTACAACCTGAAAGTACGAAAGATTTGACTTTCACAATTACTTACACTTTAACATACTATTACACTTTTATTTCTAACATAAAGTAACTATTTCCGTGTTTCTTTCTTTACGGTTCGAGTGGCAATATTATAAAAAAAAAGGTTAAGTGTTTTAACAGCTTGTTCCGCACTGTGTTACATTTTAAGCCTTCCCCCTCATTGACTCCTCACTCTTTTCTATTGGGAACATTGTTTTTTTTTTTTTTTAAGCCGCAATATCAACTTTTTCTTATAGTTTGTGTTTTGTTTAAGCGACATTTGGCTAGTAAGGTGACTTTGAAGTGCAAAGCAAAATTACAAAATTTGAGACAAATTTACATTTTCAAAAACATTTTTACATTTCATGAAACAAAATTACAAAACCAAAACAATTTTACCGAGGAACACATTTATATTTTATAAAACAAATTTAAAGTGGCCAAACACTTTTACCAGTCCCAAAATAAATTTAGTCTTCACGTTATATTTAGAGGAGTCATTAAAGTGTTTATTTTTTTAACACTTTCCAGAACCACATTACTCTGTGTCCAATATGTTTTACTATTTCTTCGATGTCCTTATTTCATACTTTAACTTTGAGGAATGCGGGAGCATGTAGTTTTATCTTTATCGATTTGTATAAATGTCTGCAGTAGCCTAACTATTTACTATATTATACTATAGTTGTTTCCCTCCATAAATTGGCCAATATTAGCTCCTTAAACCCTATCTTCTGTATTAAGCATCAGTTATTTGACTTGGCTGTTATTTCCCACAGCTCGCCCAGCTGTATTAAGCTATGTATTTCTTCCATGAACAATCGGCACATTATCAAGCAAAACATATAACAAATATTTGACCACCACTCAGAACATGTGTCTACCGTGAAATCAAAGCAACTGTTTACATAGATCATGCTGAAATCTAACTTTAAACTCCCCTCTCTCGCTCACGAGTGCCTCGCTTCTGTTCTTCTGTCTAGCCTCCTTGCGCCACCTTGTGGAGAAACATAAACATGACACGGTCGACTCCAAGCCGCCTCTTAACAGTACTGACCTGACAATATGACCTGAAATATATCTGAGCAATACCACCTCAAGATCACTTTAAAGTCCAATGATAATATCATAACTCGTTTTAATGTATTTCAAGATGTTCACGTTTGTTCTTTATTGTATTTTAATATCTTTCTGTCCATGTTACATTGAAATTATGTATATTCAGGACTTTTCCATTACGATTTAATGTAGTAGTGTACATGATTGCCTGTTATCACCTCATATAAAGAGATTACATGAGAGATTTAGAATGTGCTAAAAAAAAAAATGTGTGTGTCCATCATGATAACCACAAGCTAACAAATAAATGCTACTGTATATAACGATGGCCTTCTAATTTTTATGAAAGGTCCTTCCTGCTAGAGTTTTCCTATCAGGTTAACTCCTCATGGTTGTACATTTTGAGAGGCTGCTGTTAGGTGGATACAATTTAAGTGAAAATTGTTGCAGCGACTTTGTGTTAACATTGAAGGTTTCTAGATGTACTCGAAACAAGTTGTAAGGCCTGACCTCATGCGCTGACTGCTTCTATAGAGAGGTCTATTTAAAATGGACGTGTTCCTCACTCAGGTTAGAAACAATGGTAATAAAAAATCATTTGAAGATGCTGTTAGAAGTGAAGTGCCAGCACAAAAGGCAAACATAAGTTCAACAGTTTTTAGGACAGTGCAGTGTTTAAGTTTAAAGTGTGTGTGTAAATTGTAATGACATCATAGGAAACCTAAAAGCATGAACATGTCCAACAGGCTGTTTCCTCTTTATTATTATCATTATTACTCAGTAAAAATAGTGTATATATGTAATTCAACTGAACAGTTAAACCCGGAGGGGAACTGAAACACTATAACAATATAAAAAAATACACAAAATAAGGAAGAAGCAAACTTACACAACACAATTGAATTGAGGTTTTCATTGATGCAGATATGAGCTGTTAGAAATAAATCCTTTGATTGACTGTCATTTTAATTCTCAAATTCTACACAATGTTTCTCTCGAACTTCTACTTTTAATTCTATGTAGCTTTCTTGACTCATTTTTGCAGGCTTGCAAAACAGTCCGTATTGTTGATCGGTGTAGGGCAACTTTTTAAAAGATCCAAACTGAGCAGAAATCATAAATAGTGACCACAATACTAAGCTGGTGATAGCGGTCACATATTATCTGTATTAAAATGTACTAACTACTAGTGCAGTGATCAGAAGATATTATATAATTCACTGAATGCACTGGACATAAAATATGGATTTTCAACCATGCTGTCGTAGTAAAAGAAAATGTGAGGGGAACCCCTGCACTATATTTGACAGAAACGCCACCTCACATTTTGTTACTCGCTGTCACACAATGCATCTATTCAACAAACTCAGAGTCAACCACAGTCCACTATCCAGAATAATGTTTATTGCTTTGAAGATATTAATCTTTTTCTTCTTTTTTGCCACTTTCCATTTTTCCTCTTTACAGCAAAACAAAGAGATGACAGGTGAAAGCACTGCATTGTCGTTTTTGGATGTGTACACACACATATACACACAGAGGAAACAGTATTTACAGCTGTTGGTAAGTGAACTCCACATGGACGTGACTGGAGGCCTTTTTCCTGTAGCAACTCAACAAACATAGAGCTTTACATTAACTTTACAATAGAGCTTTCACAACGATTGGTATATGGGCACTGTTTGACAAACCATCAGATATAAAGGCTATGAAGCTGTACAATATGTTGAAGTGTGCACTGTGTGCTGAGAAAGCTGGGCCGCAAAAGAAGGTTGTTTCATCAGACCTGTTAGAGCAGAAAGAAACTGTTTTTGAATAATTTTTCCGACACTGTTTAATGTCCTCAAGCAAACCAAATTGCTGTGCTGCTGGCGTGGACAAAAAGCACTGATTGAAAAATAATCAAAAACAGATTTAGAGGGGAGGATTTAAAAAAGAAAATGCAAAGACCAATATTATTCACATTAGACTAATTACATTACAGTTACACTTGGTGAATGCTAACTATAAAAATAAGTCCACCAGCATATTTTTGAACCCAAAGGGTTTGTACATTGGGCATCTGGCAAAAATGACCAAAGGGCACAATTAATTGGGGGAAGAGACAATTCCCAGTGTGAACTCTGTCCTCATCATAGAAAAACATCTTCAGAGTGCAGATCTTCTGCCATCAATAATTTAAACTTTGATACACCTAAGCTTATAATTTATCCAACATGTTTAAATACGGAATTAAATCACAACAATACAGCTAAATCTTATCATAGTGAATTATAATTAAATGTAATGTACACCATAATAAAATATATACACAGAAATAGTCATACAAATTTCTAGATTGGTCCAGCTCCCTCTGCTCTCTTTTTCTTTCCCTTTTTTTTAAAATAAAAAATGTGCAGAAAATAATTGAACCACAGGACAAAATAAATGTTCACACACTATCACAGTTATCACTATTAAAAATTAGGATTTTAAAATTTAAATAAACCTGCAAGAAACAATATGTGTTAAAAGTAAGTGCAAAATAAACTCATAGGTAATAGAATTTTTCTCCAAGGATGATGGGGAGATGAGATGTATCCATTAAAGAAAATGTTGACTAAAATGACCACTAGGTGGCAGTATTAGACTACATCTCAGAACAAGTGGTGATTTTATATATATATGGTCCAAATCTGAAGAATTACAGGACAAATGTGTAAAATTGGATCGATCTGAGCATCATTTGTTGTTCTGTTCTGTTAGTATAGGGATGTTGTTTGTTAATGTTTGTCAGGGTAGGTGTTGCTGTGCTGTAATTTACAACCTCGCTGCCTTCTATCATAGCTCGACCGCAGACAGAAAATTGTCGAGTCCTGCTGGCAACGCGCTTAACAAGTCAACAAAGTGTGGAGCGATCATTTGGTGTGAGAGATCAAAACAGAAAGGACAAGGTGGGGATATGGACAGCCGATAGCTTAAAAACTGAACGCATAAGATGGACACGTCTGCAGGGTAATGGACTGTGGGCGAGTTAAAAACTAACACAGCAAACAGGGAAACAGTAATTCTAGAAGTAAAGAACATAACTGCCTTTCCTTGAAAAAGTGTCCATCAAGAGTTGACCATTTAAAGCAGGAAAGTGTCTCCGTGAAAAGAAAGGAGAGAAAAAGAGAGTTATCAGAGCATAGACTGGCAAGATGGTGGACGCAGGAGAGAAAGTATTAGCTGTGGATCATTTTGAGAGTCTCTGTCTCCCTGTGTCTGTCATGCAGAGCCACGGCGGGGGAGAGCGAGGGAGGCAGGGATGGGGGTGGAGGAGTGAGGGGAATCAGGCTCTTCAGAGGATGTGGGGACACAGGCGGAGGGAGAGCGGAGATTGGTGGCAGCACACTCCCTTTCTTCCCATCCAGCAGTATCTGTGATCTGCTCGCCAGGCTGGACTCCTTCCTGATGCCGAACTCGTGCTCGTTCTCGTTGTCCGAGCTGCAGTCGCTCAGATCTGTGATCTCCAAGTCTGAGTCTGACTCCGGGTCCTGCTTTACCCCTCCTCCTCTCCTCTCTGTGGGACTCTGCTGGCCTGTCACAGTTCCGGCTCCCAGTCCAACTGCTCCAAGAGTCAGACCCACCCCTGTGCCTGGAGTATTTGCCTCCACCCTCTCCCCCAACGCTGCCCCAATGTCCGTCCGACCAATCGACAGGCTCCCCGGGTACGGTGGCAGGCACAGTCTGACTGGTTGACCACCCGCCGTGCCGTTTGTGCCTCCGGTTTGCCCCGCTGCCCCCCTCTCACCTCCACCTGCCTCCCCTGGGGGAAGCAGGGAAGAGAAGGGGTGAGGCAGCTGGGAAAGGCTGCTCTGTAAAGGGTTAGGGTAAAACTGGGAGGGGTAAAGTGAGCCAGGGGGCAGTTTTGGGCAGTTATTGAGAGAGAAGGCCCCTGGGAGGTAGGGGTTGAAGCCCCACGGGTAGTCAAAGGGTGGGTTGCGCGGGTACGGGCCCAGCAGGGACGGGGGTTTGGAGTAGCATGGGGCACCTAGGATGGAGAAAAATCCAAAGATGGAGGTTAGTGCTCAGGAGGGCCAAAGGTTTCTTGACATACAACATCCAAGAATGTTCACTAATTATGCTCAGCTGTATTAGCAAGTCTAATGAGAAGCCACAGGGGCCAAATCTGGCATGGTTGCTTTCAACAAAAAAAACCTGATGGTTCATTTATGCATGCCAGTACTGAGCAGTACAAACACTTCACATGAACACCCAGATTCTACACTGCACTAAACACTGAAAATCAAACAAATATAACTACTGATCAAGCAGTTTTCCTGAACATTTTTTTATTCCCGCTTGTTGAAATGGAAATATTAGAACAAGTTGCCTCTGTTCTTCACCATGGTGACAGCCACCATGTGGAAAAATCCAGCAGGGACTGAATAAAGAATGCATTAGAGGGCTCGTCCCTGCACTTCCGGAGGTTAAGTGACTGACAGAAAAGAAAAAAACTTTGCAAACTGTCGATCTTCCCCCCCCCCCCGAAAATGTTCAGACTTGTCACTGCATCATTTGAGATAAAGAGGAAAAGACGCAGCAAATTAAATATTGTATTTGAATTCAGCTCCTTGTTAGCGTCGTGATAACAGAGAAAGGAGGTAAACTTGAGGTGATGCTTGAATTCAATTTTAATGAACAAACAAAAGCATTGCCGCTCGACCTACTGTACTTCCTTCCAACTGACAACCATCTCAAAGATTCTCTCCCTCCGCCTCACCCTCCACCTCTCCCCTATCTCTCTCTCTCTCTCTCTCTCTCTATCACTCTGTTATTTACTATGCAGGGCTAATTTGACAGTGCTGAAGTCTCTGCGTGCTGGGCCAGGAGTAGCTGGCAGACACATGAATATTGAATCAGTCAGGCAGGCCTCACTTGCTTATGAAAACACAGTAATGGGCGCCCACAGGCCACAAACTGAAGCCTGCACCCTCAATTAGGGCCTTCCTGCCTGGGAAGGGATTAGGACAACGGGGACACATGGGAGGGAGAGGAGGGTGAGAAGGGAAGAAGGGGGGGAAAAGGACCTGAGGACAAACAGAGTGGGGAGGGAGAAAAAGGGGGAGGCAGGCTGTGTGATTAAGAAAGCATGTGTGTGTGTGTGTGTGTGCAGGGTACATCTGTTTACACACTATCTCTGTGGCACATTGAAACACATTCTGATGCACGAACAGAGGGTGCAGGATTACAAACAAAGGCCGATGCATTGGCGCATATGTGCAAAACTCAACAATGCATTTCCTGAGACTTTAGTGGGGAGAAAAAGTCGTTGAATGCGAACAACCGCTTTGAAAAAGTGGATGATTTCTTTAGCCTTCAACCTGTTTTTGTACCACCGCTGAAATGCATAATTCACAAGCTAACCTGGACTCTCTCACCTGAAGCACAGCCTCACTTCGGGCTGCGATGGGACAGCCATCTCTTTTATTTCCTTTAACAATAAATGTTCATGCCTCTCCATATCCTCATTCCTCTCCCTGCTCTCCTCTTTTTCCCTCCACCATCTCTTCCTTCCTTCTTTCTGTGTATACACTGCCTATATGCCCTCCATACAAGCTGTTTTTCCCTCTCTAAGAAGGTTTTGTCCCTGGGATACTAAATGAATCCTGCTTTCTGACTGAGTTTTCTCCTCACCTGAACTGAGGAAGGGGAACGCGTCCAGTCTCAGCTTGTCTCCTTCAGGCCCCGGTGCCGTGGTGCCACGATCAAACAGAGAAGTCCCCCTGCCGGAGTCTGGCAAACGAGGAAACAGGGACTGTATGGCCTGAGCGACAAAAAGAGAGAGAACAAAAGACAGAGGAAATATTAAAATCGTTTTTTATTATAACGTAAATGTCTTCCTATGTATCTGCTCTGATGGTGCTGCTGTGTTGTGCTGCCCAAAGTCAAACGTCGAGCATCCTGCAGAGTGTGATGCAAACAGTGACAGAGACGCAGCAAGGACAGGATAAAAAGAGGTGCCATGGGACCCGGAGGAGAAATAGACGCAGGGGCGACGCAGAGGCTCAAACACTCAAAGGCAGGAAGAGTTCAGAGTCAATTGGAGACCAGCGATTAAGATTGTGGGCACAAAGGATAAATGACGAAGAGAGAGAAGAAGGGACACAGGACGAATAGGACTGAGATCTTAGAAAGTGACATGCATTCAGGATGTAGAGCAGCAGTGTGTGTGTGTGTCGTGTCGTGTCGGTGTGACGTGAAGGAGGCAAATAAATGGAACAGATGAATCTCAGGAATGAAGGGGACAAAGGGAGGATTTTTTTTGTTCCCAAGCAGGACTTTTGAATCAATAGTATGTGTCACCTCGCAGCCCCGCAAGTTTGAAAGGCGAGACTGTACTCCCAAGCTGCGTGATCCACGTTGCTTAACAAACCGCATTAATGACCCGCCATTGATCTGATCTGACGCGACCCCTCTGCTTTCAATTTCTTTCATTTTCAATCGATGACAGATGGATACGCCATCGGAGACGGGGATCAGAGCAGGAGGGGATAACGTCTTCTTTTGTTTTAAGGACAAGTTTAAACCGCCTCCTCCACCACCTCCTTCAGAGTCGGTGTCGCCTTATCCCGTCTTAAGAGGAGCGCCGACACATGACGGATGAATCTTTCTTACTGTACTTTCAAGTTAGGAGCACTTTCTAGGACGTGGGATGTTAATTAGTCTTCAAAATCTTCAACAAATATCCATAATGGAGTGATGGATTTAAATCAGTGAAGTGGATTTGTTCATTTCATTTTCTTCTAGTTATCACATCAATAAATCTCATTATGTTTTGGCTAAATTAGGACATTTTTGCTCTTTTTTGCTGTCTTTCAGGACAAACAATAAACATAATATTATATCACAATTATTGAATAACAGATAGACATGGTGAATACCCCCCTATTCACTTGTAAAAAGCAAAAAAAAAAAAAAAAAAAGGCACAACAGGGGTCTGAAAATACAAGCGCAAAATCCCTGCACTGAAATAGATCTCAGCTGCCTGAATAAAAAAACATGGAATAGAAAGCTGTGTCTTCCTAGTTTGCCTTCTTTTTCTTTGTTTAATTTAGAAAACTCCTGTGTATTTGGATGCCATTTGTATTAACCAAAATCCACACTAATATCATCAAGCTAAATTGAATATTGATATGATTGAGATTTTTCTCTGTTTAGTGAGCCTTATTTTTCAGAGGTGTCAAACTTTAAATTTCTTTTACATTGTGCCTGTGGTTTTTTCCTTTTAGATTTTTGTCTATTTGACCTTGAAACCAAAATATCCCCTCCTCCTCTTCTTTGTAATTCGTTCATTGTGTTTTCTAAAGTACAAAGAGAGAATGTATCTGACCCCTTGTTATAAGCCTGCAGGACATGAGAGAGTATAGAATGGTATAAAAATGGACAATGACTGAAAATGGGCTGTTGCTAAATCTAGTTTTGACCATGTGAGGCTTTTATCGAAGATTAATCTTACTTTTATGTTTTAACGATTTTGAGTGAGTAATTCATGCTTTCATCTCAACCTGTTTGGATTACTGTAATGAACTTCATGTCGGTGTTAACCAGGCCCCCCTCACGTGCTTATTTAGTCCAAAATCCTGCTGCTTGTCTTTAAACAGGCGCTTGTAAGCTCGAACACATTAACATTATCCTGGCCCCTGTCCACTGGCTCCCTGCTCATTTTAGAATTCAGTTTGTTTTTAGATCTCTAAATTGGTTTGCACGTCTGTACCTCTCAGACCTCTGGCAAGCTTTTACCCCCCTCAGGTCTTTAGTCCTACACACCAGCTTCTTCTTTTTGTTCCAAAGACCAAGGCTGAAAACAAAGGGTGACCAGGACTTTTCTTTAGTAGCCCCAAAAATGTGGTACAAGCTTTTTTTTTTTTAAATATGCTGTACAGAGACAGTGGTTTGGATGGGATTTCTTACTCACAATTACATTGTTCGGTATTGCCATGACGATATGGCGTACGTTAATGCTTTAAGTTTAAGCCATAACTCACATTTTCTCTGTCTATTTGCTGTACTATGTTTTTTCCTGAGATAAATTAAAAAAGCATTTTCTTCAAATTAAATTCACACAATCAATCTGATGGTGATTGCTCGGTAAAATGGTGAAAATGTCGTGAAACCGTGGCCATTAAACCCAGGCCTCTATCTAAGAGGTAAAATGTACACCTGATTTGTTGTTCGCATCAAATATTTGTATATATTGTGTTAAATTCATTCTTATCACTCTACATTTATTGCAAATGCCTGTATTGCAATAAAGATGAATAGTGGTTTATTTTGCAGCCCTATTTCATTATCTACATATTTATCATAAAGAAAATCTCCCTCTATCATTCCCCCCATCCCAGTCCCTCCATCCTACCCGTTGTACCTCTGGGCTGCAGTCAGGCGTTGTGGAGCCCCCGTTGAAGTGGTTCTGGGCCAGAAAGAAAGGAGAGTTTGCCATGTCGAGGATGGGGTAGTTCACCAACACCACCTTACTGAAGTTAAACTTGTAGGTGAACCGCTTTCCTTTGGTTTTGTGCAAAATGCGCTTGTTGTAATAATACCTGCAAAGGAGGAAAGGTAGAGGGAATCAAAGGAGGGATGGAGTGAGGGGATAAAGGATAAGGGGAAGAGGAAGAGGAAGAGGAAAAGAGGAGGGAAGGATTAAGATAAAGCTCAATTCAAGGTTTTTGTGTTCCTACGCTAACAGAGAAGAATAAGTAAACAATATCAGCGCTGTCGGGCGAGAGCTATGCTGATTTCCCACTGTTTTTATTCATCTCCTCCTACCTCCAATCAATTCATGTCTGCCTGCCTTGATTCAATACAAGATGCTTGTTTAAAGGGAAATTTTATTCAGCTGTTAACAGACAAAAAGTCAAAAAGATGAATCCCTTCCAGCCACAGAGGCCATTAACATACAGTCAATGTTACACAACAATAAGAAAGAACAGAACAAGAGGAAATATTGTTTTCACTATGAACAGGCCTATTTTTAATACATTCAAAAATGATATCAGTATTATCTTAAGATATGTATTATGGTATTTGAAAAGATACTATTATGGACTGTGAAAAAAAAGTTGAAAAAAAATCAACACACTTGATTACTCGAACACTCGAAATAGATTTTGTCCAAATTATTTAATACATTTCAGATGTATATTTAATTTATAATATTTAATTTGGACAATCAGATGCTGTTTCTACTCAGAGACATAATTCGGCAGGATGACATATGAATGTAAACGACACCGAAAAGCTGTCAATCCTTCCACCGAGCAAAGCACATTTACAGAAGGGTGAGAAAGGTATGGCAAGTCTCCATGGTAACGACCTCAGGTGTCTCCCACTGGGCATGTCGAGCCACTGTCATGCCAGCTTCCTGTGCCACCCAGCGAGGTGTCACAGTGTGCCAGTGTGCCAGGTCGATCAGCAGTATAGGAAAACATGCAGCCATCTGCTTACCAAGGTAAAGGAGCTCAGATAGGGGGCGAGAGAGAGAGAGAGAAGAGGAAGTTGCTGCCAATTGAAAAACTTTAAATATCGTCCGCAAATTATTTTTTGTTTGTTTTAAAAGGCACCAAATACAGAATGCATTAGACGGCCTCAGCATTAAATACTTTTGGGCAACGCCTCATTATGCAGACGCACAATATCAACACACACGGCAGCATCTACGGATCAGCATGTAGCCACAGTGGCTGCGCCCTGTGCAATGATGTGTACGTGTTTTGCTTTGCGTGGCAATTGTGCCGTGGCCCTTAATTGAGCAATTAAGTGAGGCTAATTAAGAAGGCTAATTGTGGCCCCAGCCAATTCATAACAATTAGACTCTGACGACAGCCCCCATTAACAAGAGGCCAAAGGAAAGCAAAGAGAGGGAGGGGGGTGGGGGGGATAAGTCGGGGTAGTTTGTATTTGCATAAGAGAACTGTGTATGCGGTTAGGGGGGATATGAACTGCTGAAGGTGTGGAGTGCGAGTTGTTTTAATCACCCTCAGCAGGTTCGGTGCCGAAGCAGTTTCTGCACTCAGAGAGAGAAGAAATCCTGGCAATTTTGACCCGCAGCTTTAATTTTGAAATCCCTATTGAATTTTTCATTTGGCAGCTCAATGGTGAACTTTCCATTAGGATGTCCACAGATAAGGAGAAATTGAGGGTATTGACGTTCCCGGGGAAAAAGCTCCACCTTTATCTTTCCATTAAACTGACATAAAAAAAAAAAGTCAGGAGTCAGTCTGACAGCAGTAAACATTTTATGTAAACTCTGCTGTGATAACCATCTTGCACTGTGATTGCCGACATTGAACACATCATGCGCAAACATTTACCTCAGTGCCCGACTCAGCTTGTCATAGTTCATGTGAGGTTTGCACTTCCTTATCCCCCACAGACGGGCCACCTCGTCTGGATCCTTGATGACGAACTCTCCATAGTCCCCCTGCCAGGCGATCACCCCGTGATACTCCTCTTTCTGCAGCAGCTCCAGGATGAAGTGCCACAGCTGGATCTGCCTGGACCCGGGGCTCGACTCAGGCTTGTAGGCCCAGTCTGGGAAGGCGAACCCTGGATATATAAAGCAGGAAAGAGAGGAGGATGAGGGTCAGGGCCTGTCATTTGTCCCGCTGTTTGCCGAGGGGGATCGCTGTCTGAATGACTGATGAGTGATGGAGGTGAGGGATGATGTGTTTAATATCACAGCACGTGCCCTGAGCAATGTTAGTCTGCACTAATGCCCTCTAGCCTCAACAGATTGGTCAGCGGGATGATGACAGCTCGCTGGGAGAGATCTGATTGATGCAACTCAGGATTGAATTCTAAAAGGCGACTGTATGCACAACATGGACGTTGTTAAGCTGCTTTTTGACTCACCCTGAAGTAAATCTAGCAGTAACTAGCCTTGTAAACACATTAGAAATACAACCAATTACTACCACACACTGAATTTGTATACTAAAAAAGCCTGTACATGAGTATTTTGACTGAATTTCAACATGCATTGCTGTCATTTTTGATGATGATAATTAGTTGTACTGACTTGTTAACTGACCTGGCGTCCAGAGAGCAGGCACAGGGGGGATCAGCAGATCACTGACGCAGTTGCAGTCCATGCCTCCACAACACCTGGTATCAAAGACAGAGATGGCACAGAGGGAAGGGGATAATTCAGTTAACAGAGATTGACTTTAACGACTCTTCACACATAACTCTACGAAAAATAAGAAAAACCAGAGGCAAGAAACTTCTCAGAAAATCATTTTCTACATTCAGACTTCTCTCCTCAGCAGGTTTACTTCAGCAAGTCAAAGTTGAAAAGTGTAAACTTTGTTGAAAAAAATGGAGCTATTGCATAAGGGTCTAAGGGCGCTGAATTAGTTCAAAATCGTACCTTAAATCGATGTGAAATATGGCAAGGTTATGTTTCATATGTCTCGGGTAGAGATCAGGTGTTTGATGGATGTGATCTTGTGTGGCCACCTGAGGCAGAGTCTGATGCAACATGGTGGACATCCCTAAAGTGCATTTATGAACAGGAGGAATTAAATAGACTCTTGAAAACTAAGGGAAAGTTGATCTATATTGTACATAAAAAATGGGACTTTTTGATATCTAACATGGCTGTTCTTTGGTAGAGTTTGGGAAAATGACAAGCTACACATGAAGTCAAAGAATTCTATGTGAAAAGTTATATTCATACATGGGATCTAGAAGGACAGACTATAAGGATAGATTTATTGGACAAGACGCTTTATGTGATTTAGGTCATGGTTTTACCTTTTCCCCTTTAGTATAATGATGATTTAAGTGCTACAGTTTTAATTTCAATGTATTTTTATCCCTGCTGACTTTTCCTGGCTGGAGGATTTTGAACACTTTGTGTGGTTTTTAGTAGAGCCCAACCGATTAATCGGCTGATATCAGCATAACCAGTGACTATCGTATCGGCTCATTTTATCGCAAGACATGCACTGAAATTTCTAGATTTATTCACCAGTCAAAAAGCATTTCATTTGAGTATCATTGTATTACATCAGCAGTTCTCTTTGACCAGTTGAGTGTGCAATCTCTACAGAGCGAAGATAAAAACCAAGTAAGATATCGGCCAAAATATCGGTATCAGATTTTTTTTTATACCTAATATTGACATCAGTGTCAGTCCCAAAAATCCCACATTGGCCAGGCCCTAATTTTTTTTAAAAGGACCTTTTTTTTTAGCTGCAAAATTTAAGTATTATGTTTATCAGTGAAATACTCTTTTCTGTTCTATGACTGAAGCTATAAATACTGACGAAAAACTACTGCTGCTGCTAAACATACTACTTTAATTCAAAAGGACCAGGTGTCAAATATAAAAGTATCAGTACCACAAAAAGCAGATAAACCTATCAGAATATGCAAAAATATTATACACTTAAAAAGCTGTTATAAAGGTTTCACTCTGAAAAGTAACTGAGGCAAATGGGCAATAACAGATATTTCATTTTCTATTTTTAAATCTCCATTGTCATTTCGCATACGTTGTATTAAAACAAACACGATGAATGCACCACAGGTGTGCACAAATGTCTAAAACAAACTGTTGATTTTCAGAATGCATCATGCGACTTTACATTTTGAGCAGGTAATCTGAACACATTAATGTGAGTGTGCATGTGAAAGATAGTCCGGTCGCTTTATTAAAGAACAGGTAATAATAGCAAAGACTCCCAGATAGATACAGTATATGTCAGCATCCTCCGACAGCAGAGAGTACAAAGATTCCTGGGTTTCCATGACGAGCGTGAGGACGAGATCTAGTTTGGGTATCACAGTTTGATCATGAGTTGTTTTACAAAGCTCAGATGGAAGAGATGCCCTGCTACACTGCTATCTTTAATGCCGACCCCTCTATCTCTCCCTTCACTCTCTGCCTCTATTTAATTATGCTCTGTGAATTTTGGATTTTCCCTCCAGCATTGAAATAGAACGTGAATTATTAAGGTGTGTTTGTATAAATTATTATTGCTAACTCCAGGCATTTCTCTCTCTCTCTCTTTCTCTCCCGCTCACTCTCACCCTGCTTGTAGCCTTTGGATTGTGGCCCCTTCTCTCTCTCTCTCTCTCTCTCCTCCTCTCTCTTCATCTTTCTTGTTTTCATGCAGCTCCATCTGTCTTCAAATACGGAGTGGGCATTCATCCTATCTCGCTCATACATTTTTTTTTTTTCCCCCACATCATTCATGTTATCATTTCTTATTTTTCTCATCTTTTTCACACCCGTCTCGTGTGTACTCTGCCTACACTCACTTCCCTGTAATGATTCAAAGTTATCACGCAGGTTCAAATAACAGTTGGAAGTTTCATCTCCGCAATCACAGCACCATATTTTCAGGCAGGGTCTTTCCACAAACTACAGCCTGTAACAGATTGTTTTGCGTTCAGTAGGTTTTCAAAACACACGCTGACCGAAAGGCCTCAGCAGAGAGAGCGTTGGGGCTTTAAAAAATGAGTTATTCTTTTTGTTGGAGGTAGTAATCTATAAGTTTCAGCTTCCCTGTGGGCTACAGGCCATCAGTAGTATATCATCTCTTTCATATGCAATATTCTCGTGGTGCACAGCGTGTATATTCTTGTGTCCTCCGAGGATTAAATACATATGCTCTCTTAGCTGTCTGGGTTTCTCCAGTTACCTCTTATACCACCTACGCACCGCCTATATCTATATCCATCTTCCTTTTCCCAATCCGCTGTGTATGTATACAGGTGAATCCTCCTTTCCTCTTTCCCACCTCCTTTCTACTCACACACACCTATCCTCTGTCTCCTCACACTCCCTCCTTTCCTTCCTACCGCCCCACCCGTCTCCTCTCTATCTCTCTCTTTCTCTCTCCTGCTCTGTGTGTTTTGCTTCGGCGCAGTAATTTTCCGTTTGATTTCGGAGGTAATGCATTTTTTACAAATCAAAGAGGAAGCCAGGCTGCCCCCCCCCTCCTCCTCCTCCTCCTCTCCTTCTTCTTCCTCCTCCCCTCACTCTCTCCCTCCCTCTACCTCCTCCTCATCCTTCCCTCTCTCCCTCCCTAGCCTCCCGTTCTCGCCCCCCTCGGCCCCCCAGGCCAGAGAGGAGATAAAGGAGCCCCCATCATTTCCTTGTTAGTTTTGATTTGGGCAGCGCAGGGCTTTCAAGTTCCCCCCATCACCCCCAGAAACATTATAACTAGCAGCCCAGGGAATACTGTTCCTCGTACACACACACACACACACTCTCACACACACATGCGTGCACAGGCTGTCAGATACAGACACTCACAGATTGTAATGGACTGTACATACACAGTGAGTACACAGTCTCGAGCAGATATGCCACAAATACAGGTATTCAGGTACCTGACGCACACAAACACACACACACACACAGTGAGAGCAGCACACAGAATAAGACATGGAGCCCATAGATAATGACTCAATCAATATCGACACACAAGCACACATCTCACTGAGCTGAAAGACAGAATGCACTTAGTTTGCTGAAGATGCTGCTGTCCTGATAGAGAACAGAGATGTACGCAGACAAAAAAAACAAATGCGTTTCATTTGAAAAGAGCAACTTTGGACCCAACACAGGCCAAACAAAAGACCCAGCTCCTACAAAAGGCCACCAATAAAACCAAGGATGGGTGATGGATCACACAGTTACCAGTGACAATGATAGAAACATACACAGAGTTAACGTGTTCACACTCACATCTTGACAAAGGCACCTTCACTGTTCAAAGGAATTCTCAGCTTTGGTCCTGCACATGCTTTGGAGTGTAAGCAACCACTCGATTCATCTAACACACAAACCTACGTCTCATCCTCTGGTGTGTTGATGACTCATTGGCTTTGATAATTCAGTCAACAGTTGAAAGAGTGCGCAGGTTTTAGGGACACTACAATGATGCAACCACTTAACGCTTGGTCAAAACTGAAAAAAAGTGCTTCTTCTGTTACCGCTTTTAAACTTTCAAACAACTTCCCACAAAGTCTCAAAGAGGCCAAACCATTTTCAAACCCGCATTACGTGATTGTTTGGTCACTTGGGAGCAACAGAAACGAGCAGTAAACACATCATGGAAATATCATCACCAATAGTTTGATATGGTGAACCAGTTAGCTCAGGGTTTCTTATTTTCACGTCGAGAATAGACAGAGCAGCATTAGCATTCACCAAGTGTCTTGTTTCTGGCAACTTGGTCAATTTAAGTCCAATATTTACTCACTTTTAACTGTTTTTTTTTTTTTTTTTTTTTCAAAATCAACTCCAGGGGAAAGTGTACGGCTAAAAGTTCTACTTTCTATACAAGCTGTATATCGTCTCTCTATAGAATGTGTCTGCACTTTGTTGCCAAGTAAGAAATGAACAGCCGCTGTGTCTAGAAACAGAACTAGTAGGAACGGAGAGTGGAGCAAAACAGTAAAAGACAATAACACCAAAACAAGGAGCTGTGAGACGCTGCATATTCTGGTTATAATTCTCATTTCAACAGTGATTTGATGTTTTCTTACCATAAAGGAACTGGTTGTAGAAACTTACTTTTTTCCCCCTCCTTTCCCCGGACTTTTTTGTTTTGAATCGTTCTCCTTGTTTTTGTACATCTGTGTCATTTTGTTGCCTTGTTTTTCCTTCCCTCTAAAGCACTTGTGAAGTTCTGTTTTAAAAAAAAAAGTGAAACATAAATGTTTTTGTAAGAGTCATGCTTACATTTGTTTTCTTACAGTCAGAGTCTTAGAGTAAACCTGCAGAGATAATTGAATAACAAGAAAGTCTGGTAAATCGTGCTCATAATAAAGATTCAGCTCACTCTGTGGAACGTGGAACTGTTTAAAGTCAAATGTATTACAGTCCACTTCTACAAACTTGATGGACTTGATCAGGCTCTGCCCGATCTGCTGCTTTCATAGATAGAACACTTTGATTAAAAACAAATTAAAAGCATGTTTCAAAAGATTCCAACAGAAAGAATTGGATGATTTTAAGGTGAATTTGGACATTAACATCTTCCCACCCAAACAGAAACGACAGATCCACAGTGATGCAAGTTTGCAACAAGGCTGGTAATCTTGTGGACCATGCAGGCCCTTCAGCAGAACTGTTTTACTTGTGG